TAAACCATTCCATGAATGAATGATGTCTACTATTCTTCACCCACCAGCACATTCTCATGGGAGTGCCTCAGTGGCCTCTCTTTTTACTAAAGTTTTTAGTGTTCATTAAAAATGTACAACCCTAAAAATGTAGAGCTCTAGACTTTTCCTCAGATGCTTTTTCAGATTGTAATTGTTGAACTTTTCTAGTACTTGCATTGTCACACTGTTAAGACGTTAAGCTCCGTGAGAACAGGATTCAGGGCTCAAGTGCTTTGTCCTTACGTACTTTTAGAAAATAGTGCTTTGACTTTTATCTTGGCAGCCTTAACTCATACATGTTATAGTAAGTTTTTTTGTTGCTAAAAACTAGATTTGTCCTCTTGGTGTGTGATGACCAAGTTGTTATAGACTTAACCATAGTTTTTTCTTTAATAAAAGGTGTGCTAAGCCAGGTAAACTGAAAGTATACTGACACTTCTCACACACTGGAATGGGAGAGTGTGGTATGTAGCACCTTGAAAGTACTTGAAGTTCTCTGCAGAAAAATAAAACTGCAAACTGGACCCGCTCTCCTGCCTCACGTGATTTAGAACCAAAACCAGTGCGTTGTTTACATATTTGGAAATGATCATTAAAATTAGTTTTTGATGTCATAAAACATTTAAACTTATTAGCAATCTTTTTAAAATATACAATCCTTCCCTATCTGTTTAAGTAGATGGTGTTTGAGCACTAGAGAAAAATTGTTAGACATTGATCAGATAATAAATGGGCTTCACATTACTTTCCCTTCTCTTTATCTTTCTGAGAGAGTCAGGCAGATGTTATTTCTACTTACGAAGAAGGGTCCTCAGACATTAACAGAATGACTTACATGCCCCAAGTTATATTAATAATTAGTGTGGAGTGGCCTCATACAATACCTCTGCAGTTTTCAGCCCAGAGTTTCTCCATTAAACCCACTGACTTGTACATATTGAATTGTACCCCATTGTGAAGTCCTGCACAAATAATGGGAAATGAAGTTGCCTCAAGTTGAGTCTAGTGGTCAAAGTCCTGGTACTATTTGAAAGAGAAATTGTATTTGAGTGGGATTACTTAGAGCCCCAGAAACAAAGGAATCTTTCTTTGTGTCAGCAGTTCTCAACCGGTAACGATTTTGCCCCCAGGAATCATTGGCAGTCTGCGGACACATTTGGTGTTGTCAAAGCTAGGGTATGGATGTGGGTGTGTGTGCGTGCTCCTGTGTGCTACTGGCATCTAGTGGGTAGAGACCAGGAATGCTACTAAGCATCCTACAATACCTAGAACAATCCCTACAACAAAGAGTTAATTATATAGTCCAAAATGTCAGTAGTGCCGTGGTTGATAAATCCTAATGCTTGTGTTTAAAGGAATGGAATTAACTGAAGTCCTAGAAGCTAAAATGAACTTGGGTCAGAGGCAGGGAGCAGGTAAAGGGGGTGATTTTAAGTGCATTGGACCGACAGGAACTATTTTGATGGTGTTAAGAGTTGATTTGCTTTCTCTCGCCCTTTCTTTGTGCCAAGACTTGGCACAGCAATTAGTGGAGAAAACAGTGAAGAAACTTTTTTCTCTTCTAAAATACTGGGAACAGGGTCCTATTCCCAGAGCTGGACATGTCAGTCACTTTGCCAAGTCACTTGCAGCTTCTCTGGGAACCACACACCCATGCTGTAGGCCTCCAAGCAGTCTAAGGCATGTGACTATTTTTTGTCAAGATTATACAAGTGATAAACTGGCTAATTTATTTCCCAAAGTCTTATCATCATAATTCACCTGAGAGGATCTAAGTTTCTCACTATTCCTATATCATGTGCCATATGTGATTTTTTTTTTTTCATATGTGATTTTTTTTTTTTTTTTGACTGACATACTCCTGCTTGGTTTTATTAACAGCAGAAAAACAATGAGCTTTAAAAAAAAAAAAAAAAAAAAAAAAAGACTTGAATTTTTAGAGCAGTTTTAAGTTCACAACAAAATTGAGAGGAAATTTACAGTTCCCAAATATCCCCTGCCCACAAACAAATGCCTTTTGACTTCATTGCAATACTAACTTTCAAGTAAAGTTTATATAAGTGCAGTGTTATTCTGTTAATGCAAAATGAAAGGTTTCTTATCCTTGGTTCCAGCTCTCACTAAATGTAAAGCAAAAGTAAGGAGAAAATACATCTTGGTGAGTTATGGGTATTTTCTTTTTCCCCCACTCAGTGGAAGAGAGAAGCTCAAATCATCCAGTATAACTTCTTATTGACTCTGCCTGCCTAGCCAAGGCCACTCATCTTTTCAAAAATTTCCCACAGAGTTATACATCCTCTTTCTTTACCAGGGGGAATTTATCTCCCTCCCAGGAAGTTTTCCTAGTTTTCTAAAGTTCAGTTTCTGTATCATTGAAACTCTTAACTTTTTTCAGTCTGATGATGTGACTGCTTAGAGGTTCAATGTACCATAGCCACCAAGCCTTCCCATAATTGAGGGTATTCTAGGACCTTTTCAGTGTGATCTTATTAGTGTCTCATGCAGTTAGAGCTTAGGGAATACTGATGACCGCGTTGTTGAGTAGAATTTCCCCCAACCCCCTGCGAAGATCAGTTGGTTCTTCCAGCCAAAATATTGCTCTATCCTGTGTATCATGGCTAATGGACATATAACAATCTGCTGTGTTTCTTTTTGCTTCCTTTAAATTATGGGTTTTATAGGTCCCGGGTTTTACCCTTAAATAGTTGACCCATTAAAAAGTAAATTAATGGTCTATACAAGAGAGAGAGAGTTGGTGTTATTTAAAACACAATTCAGGTTCAGTCTGGATTCAAGGCCTCTCGTGACCTTGGGCAAATTATTCTAAAGTCTGTTCCTTTATCCATTAAATGCAAAGTATTTCATTTATCCATTAAATGAAAAGGACCAAATGAAATAACTGTGTTATTTCATAAGTTATAAAACACAATGAAAATGTGTAGCAGGATGTAAATAGAAGGGTGAGCTTTAGGAAATGGCATTGATTGTGAAATGGCTGTAGGTTGAAGAATTTATTTTCCCTTCTATTGACATGTCTACATGGTGTAGATTGCCTTTCTTTCACCTTAGTAAATTCAGAGATGACTTTCATTGGATTTGGTTGTAGTTTTTTGTCTTTTTAAAATAAGATTATTCACTTGCTAAAACATATTTGGCATAGATCAGTGATTGGTGCAAAACAAAATTCTGAATTCACCAAATAGCAAAGACTAAGCCTATTACATCATCATCATCCATGGGAGTTGCTAATCAATTCTGTAGGACCAGAAATAATTTTCTAGGCTCTTCTCAAATCCCCCAGATGGTAGTTTGACTTACACTCCTATTTTCAAACAGTTATTCTAAGCAATAGTTTATTTACCCTTTCCCCCAACCACTTAGTTATACTGTGTGGATTCTGGATGGTGGTAGATCGTTGGGTACAATTTATAAAAAGCCTTTTACATTGACAGTGTCACAAAGTAGACCCAGCAAACTGTAGGACTCCAGGACTGGTATTTTAAATGATGGGTAGAACTCTTAGAGCAAGGCAGGCAGACTGTGCTGGAAATTGCTCCATCGGAAAGGTAGCTTAGCCCTGCCTCTTTGGTCTTTGTGACTAATGGAAAAACACTCTCAAATTCAAAAGCCTAATCAGCCAAAACCGGTTTGGCTCAGTGGATAGAGCGTTGGTCTGCAGACTGAAAGGTCCCGGGTTCGATTCGGGTCAGGAGCGTGTACGTTGGTTGCAGGCACATCCCCGGTGGGGGGTGTGCAGGAGGCAGCTGGTCTATGTTTCTCTCTCATCGATGTTTCTGACTCTCTATCTCTCTCCCGTCCTCTCTGTAAAAAATTAATAAAAATATATATTTTTAAAAACCTAATCATTACTGCCTCTCTGAGAAGCATTACCAGTTTTATAAGCAGGAAGGACTTAATTACTTTTCCTTTTTCTGTTGCCTTATGTTTATTCGTCATAAAATTATTTTTATTCCTTTTAACGGGCTCAGAAATAAGCTCAAATATTGAACTTTGCAGGCTTCCTTTTTTAATAGAATAGATCAGATCAGTTGGCTAAATGCCTCACTAACAAACTTCAGAGCGAAGCTGGAACTAAATTGTGCTCTGGATTATTGATTTATAAGCTCAGAATGGGAAGCGGCTGTCAGGACAGGAAGCTCCCTCTCCTGATCCTTGAGCAAGTTTTTCCTAACTGTTTCAGGGGCTGTGAGCTCACCAGCAAAATCCTAACCGAGTTTATCTTGCTAGGACAACCTATTTTATATTAAATTTATTTGGGTGGCATTGGTCAGCATGACCATACAGGTTTCAGGTGTGGGTTTCTGTGTTGCAATATCTATCTATTGCACTGTGTGCCCATCACTCAAGTCAAATCTTCTCCTGCCACCATATATTAGGACCCCTTCTCCCACCCCCTTTCCCCTAGCAGCCACCACACTGCTGTTTGTGCTCACGAGTTTCAGTTTTCTATCCCACATATGAGTGAAATCATAGGGTTCTTAGCTTTTTCTCACCGACATTTCTTTTAAAATAATATTCTCAAAATCCATCCATGTTGTTGCAAATGGCAATCCTTTCTTAAGGCTGAGTAGTATTCCACTGTGTATATGTACCACATCTTCTTTATCTAGTTCTCTATTGCAGGGCACTCTGGTTATTTCCATGTCTTGGCCACCATGAACAATGCTGCCATAAACATAGGGGTGCATAGGTATATCTCTGTGAATACATGTTTTTGAGTTTTTCGGGTATATACCCAGGAGAGGGGTTACTGGGTCATAGTGAAGTTCTATTCTTAATTTTTTGAGGAATCACCAGATTGCTTTCCATAGTGGCTAGGTCAACCCGTTTTAAATGCTCCATAGAGAAAGAATAATTCTTCTCCCGCTGAACTGCTAAAGAACCACATCTGTTTCTAACGTCGGCTTTTTATTTTTTTTTTTTTTTATCTTTCATTTTTTTGTTGGTAAATCTCCCAGACAACAGCAGTTCTGTAGAAAGTTTAAATATGAAGGAATGGCAGGACGGGCTCAGGGCACTTCTACCCAACATTAACATCAACTTTGGTGGACTGCCCAATTCCTCCTCCCCCTCCAGCGCCAACCACAGTGCACCAACGTCCAACACTGCCACCACCGACAGCCTGAGTTGGGACAGCCCGGGCAGCTGGACAGACCCAGCCATCATCACAGGTAACTCTCTCGCTCCTTCAGCTCCACTGACCGCCAGCAGCTTGGTCTCTCGCACAGACTAGACTAAAGTCCCTTCGCCATCGGCTTCTTTTCACAAAGCCACACGCCTGGTGGCTTGTGTGCTCCTCAGGGGTGCGGTCTCGCTAGCTCCGCTGGCCTGGCTGTGCGGTAAGGCGTTTGGTGCCTCGGTGGCTTCCTCTGGTGTGAGTAGGTGTGTGTATGCTGTAGGCCTCCGAGTACAAGGAGGATCTGACTTACCCTCTTAAAGGAACATACTCCACTTTTAAAATAAAGCTCTTTATTATAAGGCTATCTTCTTTACGGATTCCGAATAGAGGAGAAGCACAATTGGGAAATGACGTCATGCACTTTGGGGGACTCGTTTCTGCAGCTCTGCCTCTAACAGGGGGGTACAGTGTGCAGTGGAAGAGGAGGCATGGGTTTCCGTGACGATAAGTGATGGTCGTTGTGGGTGGAGGATAAGAGGAATGTAAGATCTAAAAAATGTACTTGGAAGGAGTTAAAAATTGTAATTTTTTTCTTATTCTGTGTGTGGGGTGTGTGTGAAACTAATCAATCACCTTAAACAGTTTGTTGCTGTTGTTTGATGAATTTCCTATTCTTTCTGCGCAAACTCACCATTTTCCCTCTCTTTTCTTTTCTCTTCTTAGGTATTCCAGCCTCTTCAGGAAACAGTTTAGACTCTCTTCAAGACGACAATCCTCCACACTGGCTAAAGTCCCTCCAGGCCCTCACAGAGATGGACGGCCCCAGCGCCGCCCCGTCACAAGCCCACCACAGCGCCCCCTTCAGCACACAGATCCCCCTGCACAGAGCCAGTTGGAACCCCTACCCCCCTTCAAATCCCTCCAGCTTCCACTCCCCGCCCCCAGGCTTCCAGACAGCCTTCAGACCCCCTAGCAAAACTCCCACAGATTTACTACAGAGCTCAACACTGGACCGCCACTAGGGAAAGAGGAGACACCGTTAGAAAATGCAGGATTTGCCCCACCCCGTTTTCTCCCTCGGCTCACCCACAGCTCCCTTCTCATCTCTTAAGTTCTGAAGAATCCAGTTCCCGATCAATTTTTTTTTCCTCCCTATCCCCAGATGCAATGCGATCACAGGGTCATGACCATCCTTTGTTTTAATTGTAAAAGTTTCTGTTGATCCAGCATTTGAATGACACTGTTGAATGTTTCCTAAAAATGCCTTTCTAAGGAAGAAAAAAAAAAAAAATCAAAGGGCAGTCTCGATACTTAGAAGATTACTGTTTGTTTCGCATAATAATGACATAATCTGCTTAGCAGGAAATGACGATTAATCAATAGAAAAGGTCAAGTAAATGCACTGTCAACTGCAGACGTTTGAAAACCGGGTTAATAGAAATGAGATTGCTAAACGCGTGAGGGAAAGCGTGGTCCTGGCAGCCATCTTGTATTCAGCTTATCACTATTGCAGGGAAAATGCTTTTTAAAATTTTATTTTATTTTGAATTCTTTTGGCAAATTGATGGAATGGACTTGATTGTGTTGTTAAACAAAAGAATTTATTGGAAGTTGATGGAAAGACAAATTGATCTGTAGTAGTAACTGGCCAGTTGCTAAGAGTTTATAAGGAGGGGAGAAATGATTTTTTTAAGGAGAAGAAAATTTTTGGCTTTATATTTAAAGTAAATTCAAATGTTTTAAAGAAAAAGAGTATTCACAGATTTAATACCTATGTATAACGTAAGAGCTGAAATATAAGTGATTTCTTCAGTCTTTCTCATCTGTCGGAATCTTTTTTTCTTTGACCTTGAATTCACCTGACTAGGGCACTGAGATAGCACTGCTCTGGGGACATCTGATCACCACAGGAGCAAATCTCCAACCTCCCTGCCTGCAGCTTTTACTTAACCCTGTAGTTTCTGGACATTTGTGCAGTATTGAAAAGACAGGAGAAAAGAAAACAGAAACCTGGTTATAACCTGACGCTAAAACTAAAACCAAGAAAATGTACCTCTTTCTTCAGAATTAAAACTAAAATCTTAAATAAAACAGAAAACTTGATGATGACCCTTGGGCTGTTCTTGTTTTGTTTTTTGTTTTTTGTTTGTTTGTTTTCCATTTTATTGCATGTGAGTTTCAAACATTTTGTGATAGCGGTCACCAGATGTTTCCATTGGTTGTACATCTTCAACAACAGGGAGGATGGCCTAGCATAAGAAATTAGGGGGAGAATCATTTTATTGTCAGTCTCTGCCATTTTTGAAGTTCAGTTCACCTTACACTCCAGAAGTCCTTTTCCAGGGGCTTCCTGTAGACATAACCCCCTTTTGCTATTGTATATGCAGACCAAACCATCCCTCGTGTTCCAGGAAGGAGCAGGTGGGCTGTTGATGTGCTGAGAGGTTGGTTGTCTTGGGGAGACCTGGCGGGGGCAGCCAGTGTGCCGGACAAGTAGCAGCACCTATGTGAGTGCCGTGATGGCAGAGAGATGAGAAAACACTGATGTAGTGACCCACTGCTAAGTCTGCAACCATCCTCGCTGGGGAACACCTAACGATGGAGAGACAGTCCCACCATTGGAGGATAGAGAATGAAATGAGATGTCCCCCACCAGGTTCCCAGGATTGTGTATGGCTTGTATGTCCTGACTTGGATTCCGTTCACAAGTCCCAAGCTGGAGTTCCATATTTCCAGCCACATCCGTTAAGGTTATCTTTGTAGAGTGAATTAAGTAGATCTTCCCAATCTTGCATTCTGTATTTTCCAGTTGATTTTCTCCTTCTTACTTTTACTTCGTACTTCGATTTGCTACCAGTCCCCTTGCTCCCCCACCCAAAATAAACAATTTCAACACTGACCGGGCCGAGAATAGAGCCTGCAACTGAAGTACATGCCCTTGACTGGAATCAAATCCAGCCGGTCAACGTTTTGGAAAAACGTAAACAGGATAGTCTCAAATGTCACCACCAATAGATATCAACTGGGTAAATAGTGAATTGTTTTTTTGTTTTGTTTTTTCTTTTCTAATTTACCAAAATGTTACTGTGATACAGAGAAGAGGACTAGAAACTTTAGGGTCTCTTTGTCCTATGAATTTTGCTTTGGTCTCCTGAATATTCACATAGCACTGCAAAGTGATGGGTCAACACATCCTATATAATAAAAGTCTAATATGCTAAGTGTCCGACGGTTCATTCGACTGTTGAACCAGAAGCTATGACATGCACTGACCACCAAGAGGCAGACACTGATTGGTAGGTTAGCTTTCAGCTGGGTTCCAGCAGATTGGGACTGGGAAAGACGGATGGACACACCCTGGAGCCCTCATATGGTCCCTCCCCAGCTGGCCAACTTCCTGCAGTCCCTTCCTGGCTCCAATCATGCACCGTGGGGCCCCCTAGCCTGGCCTGTGCCCTCTTGCAAACCAGAACCCCTCAGGGGATGTCAGAGTTGGTTTCGGCCTGATCCCTGCAGGCCAGGCCGAAGGACCTCACTGGTGCATGAATCTGCACTGGGCCTCCAGTATATAATAATCAGGTAGCAGTGAGTTTTGATCAAGGCTTTGGGGGGTGGTGGTTGGATATTCTTTAGATACAGGCATATCCATAAAAAAATGTTACTTTGTTTGAAAAGGAAGGAAATTCTTGCAAGGCTATGCTGTGAATGTATTTTTTAACAAACGATATGTAAGACTTTATAAAATGTGTAAACATCATTTAAAGAATAATAAAACAATACAAATCTGTGTGCTTACCACCCAAGTTAAAAATAGGACCTGCCGGCTCTAGCTGGTTTGGCTCAGTGGACAGCTGGATTTGATTCCAGTCAAGGGCATGTACTTCAGTTGCAGGCTCTATTCTCGGCCCGGTCAGGGCGTGTGTAGGAGGCAACCAATCGATGTCTCTCTCACATAGATGTTTTTCTCTTTGTCTCTCCCCCTCCACTCTCCCTAAGAATCAATGGAAAAATATCTTCAGGTGAGGATTGACAACAACAACAAAAAGAGCCTGTCATATCTAAAAAGGCCCCTATCTATTCTTCTTCAACGTACTTTTTCTTTCTTCGCTGTCTACAAATAACCATTATCTTGGTTTCTATGTTAATTTTTCTTCCCTCCCACCCTCTTAATCTGTCTTTTCTTTAGCTTTCCATCTATATCCCTCAATATACATTGTTTAGTTTTAGAAAGGTGAGTAGTAAACCGAAGCCTCGCTGTGTTAAGACAAAGGCCATGTTGTCACATCTAAATCAAGGCTTTCGGAGGCTAAATAGTCTCCTGGTCACAGTTTGGTTTTAGCTTCTCTGATAATTTATAGAAGGCAGATTCGGGGGAAGGGGTGATCTGAGACACGGTCTAGCACAGTTGGGACATCCGACAGGGCACCTGATGTGTGCCAGAGAGAGGGTCTGTGTGCTGTGTGTGAGCTCACTGAGGCTTCCCTCCAGGTCTCTGGAATAGATCACAGCACAGCTCGTGGGAGTGGGCTGGTTTAAAATAAGTGTCAGCTGATCAGTTCACTGGGGCATGGAGAGGAGAGCAGATATACTTCATTAGATGTGGTCAGATCAGATAAGTGCAGAAAAGACCCCGGACTGAGACAGTCTGTTGGTGTAATTGCACTGAGACTTGGCCCTCTATGTCTGCTCCTGGGCCACAGTGCTCACAGCTAACTTTCCTAGTATTTCCTTTTACCTCTATCCTTTCTTTTCGTCTTTTCTCCCTATATCCCTATAAGTCTATTTTTTTAAAATACGTTTTTATTGAATTTAGAGAGGAAAGGAGAGGGATAGAGAGAGAGAAACATCAATTGGCTCCCTTCACGCCCCCTACTGGGGATTGAGCCCACAACCCCAGCATGTGCCCTGATTGGGAATCCAATCAGTGACCTACTGGTTCATGGGTTTGACACAACCACTAAGCCACATGAGTCAAGCCCAATGAAGTTTTTTTAAATTTATTATTTTTTTTAATTTTGCTGGAGTGACATCCTCCAGAAAGTTGAGAAAAGTGTGTGGGAGGTAAATATTTAATAATTGGCACATCTGAAAATACTGTGTCTCAGTTGACAACTTCGTGTATACAGGATTCTAAATGGCAGATATTTTTTCCTTAAATTTTTGAAGACATTACCTGTACTCTGTTGTCTTCTTCCAGTATTGCCGTTAAAAAAATTTTTTTTTCAAAACCAGCCTTAGGCGGTTTGACTCAGAGGATAGAACATTGGCCCATGGACTGAAAGATCCTGGGTTCAATTCTGGTCAAGGGCACCTACTTCAGTTACAGGCTCAATCCCGGGGCTGGTCAGAGGCAACCAATCCATTTGTCTCTCACCTTGATGTCTCTCTCTCTGTCTCTCCACCTCCCTTCCACTCTCTAAAAATCAATGAGAAAATGTCCTCGGGTGAGGATTAATACACACACCCACACACATCCAGAGCCACTCTGATACTTTATATGTAATCCTTTTTTTTTTTCTTTCCCCTCTCTAAAACGTATAAAAATTGTGTCTTATGCTCTGAAATTTCAGTGATGTTCCCTGGTGTGGGTCTATTTTAATTTATTGTGCCAAACACACAGTAGGCTCTTAAAATATGGTGACTCTTGTCCTTCAGTTCTGGGAAATTCTTGACTTACTTCATTAGTGAATTTTTTGCAGTTATTTTCTTTCTTCTTCCTCTCTAAAAATCCCATTATCCAAATACCAGACCTTCTGAACATCCCTCTGTTTAGCATCCCCCTCACCTCCCCATTTTCCACTTGTCTTTTGACCTCCTTTCCAGGAAGTTTTATCTCAACTTTATTGTTTATAGTTACTTTTCTCCTTGTGTTGTTTTTGTTTCTCCAAGTTGGTTTAGCTATTTGTTTGCTTTTATCGCTATCTTCCATATTAGAAACTTCTCAGATCCTGGCTCATGAAGAAGACCACAAAGCTGATAGGAAGTGTTGGGGACATGAAGGTTTGCTGTGCTTGAACTCCCC